CTTCTGAATTTTGGGTTTTCCTAATTATGACATATCATCAGCAACGTAAAATTGATCTCCTCTGCCCCTATTTATAGCCTAATCCACTTCCTGTCTGATTGCTCCAGACTTCCGCACTTATGTGAATAGAATGGAATAGGACCGCCTTGCCTGGTTCCGTTCTGAATGTCTAAAGCTTTTTCATTTTCCCCATTCATGTTATGTTCTATGGCTGTCTATATGGCTTGTATCATTTTAGGTATGTCCTTCTAGCCTATTTTATTAAGTGTTCTTATCATGAAAGGGTGCTGAATTTTGTCAAAAGCTTTTTCTGCATCTATTGAAAGAATCATGTGGTCTTTTTTGTTTGTTTGTTTCTGTTTATGTGGTGAATTACTTTTATAGATTTATGTATGTTGAACCATCCCTGCATCTGGGATGAAGCCCACTTGGTCGTGATGGATTATTTTTTTGATAAGCATGTGGATTTCTTTTAGCTAGGATTTTGTTGAAAATGTTTGCATCTCTATTCATAAGGGATATTGATCTGTAGTTTTATTTTTGTTGTTGTTGCATCCTTTCCTGGTTTTGGTATCAGAGTAATGTTCGCTTCATAAAAGGTGTCAGGGAGGTTTCCATTCTTCTCAATGTTTTGGAATAATTTCTGCAATATAGGCACCAGTTCTTCTTTGTAAGTGTGGTCAAATTCGGGTGTGAAACCATCTGGACCGGGACTTTTCTTTTTAGGGACCTTTTTAATTGCTGTTTCTATTTCGGCTCTTGAGATTGGATTGTTCAGGAATTCTATTTCTTCCTGGCTGAGCCTAGGGAGGCTGTGTGTTTCTAGAAATATGTTCATTTCCTCCACATTTTCCAGTTTGTGTGCATAAAAGTTTTTGTCGTATTTGTAAATTATATCTTGTATCTCCTGGGGATCAATTGTGATATTTCCTCTTTTGTTCCTGATGGAGCCTATAGGAGATTTCTATTTTCTTCTTTTCATTAGCCTAGCCAAAGGTGTGTCAATTTTATTTTTTCGAAGAACCAAATTTTTGTTTTATTAATCTCCTGAATAGCTTCCCTATTGTCAATTTCGTTTAGTTCTGATTTGATCTTGTTAATTTCCCTTCTTCTGCTGGGTTTGGGGTTGGTCTGTTCCTCTTTTTCCAGCTCTTTGAGTCGTTTCATTAAATTGTCTATTTGTGATCTTTTTGACTTTTGCTTATAGGCATTTATGGAAATAAATTTTCCTCTCAGTACTGCTTTAGCTGTGTCCCAGAGGATTCGATAACTTGTCTCTCCATTGTCATTTTTTTTCAAAGAATTTCTTTACTTCCCTCTTGATTTCTTCATTTATGAAGTAATCATTTAGTAGGAGGTTGTTTAATTTCCACGTTTTTGTGTAGAAATGTGAGTTTCTGTTAGAGTTGATTTCTACTTTTATTCCACTGTGATCTGAGAAGATACATGATATGATTTCTATTTTTTAAAAATTTCTTGAGGCTTACTTTGTGTCTTAGAAAATTGTAAGTCTTAGAGAATGTCCCGTGAGCTGATGAGAAGAACATGTATTCAGTGGATTTTTGGTAGAATGTCCTGTAAATGTCAGTCAGACCCAATTGCTCTAGAGTTTTGTTTAAGTCAATTATTTCTTTATTACTTTTTTCTTTGGACATCTGTCCTGTGCAGTCAGTGGGGTGTTGAAATCTCCGGTGATTATGGAGTTGCTATTAATCAATTTGCTTAGATCCAGTAAGGTTTTCTTTATGAATCTGGGTGCAACTAATTTGGGTGCCTATATATTTAAAATTGTTATCTCTTCTTGTTGAACTGTGCCCTTCACCATTATATAATGACCCTCTTTGTCTTTCACTACTTTTGTTGGTTTAAAAACTAAATTGTCTGAAAGTAGAACTGACTCACCAGCCTTCTTTTGGCTCCGCTTGCTTGATATACTGATCTCAACCCCTTTACTTTTAGTGTATATGCATCCTTGTAAGTTAGATGTGTTTCCTCAAGACAGCAGATACTTGGCTTGTATTTTCTTATCCATTCAGCCAGCCTATGTCTCTTGAGTTGAGAGTTTAAGCCATTCACATTTATTGAGAGTACTGATAGGTTAGGTAGATTACTGTTCATTCTGTTGGGTCAGATGTTGTTGCTTTGATTTCTCTCTTGAGCCATTGTAATATCTGGCCATTAGCATTTAGGTTTTGGTAGTTTTTATATTTGTGAGTATTTATTGTGCTCTTCTGTGCATAACACTGTTTTAAGTATTTCTTGTAGGGCTCATCTTGTCTTGGTTAATTCTTGAGACTTTGGTTATTTGAGAATGTCTTAATTTCTCCTTCATATATAAAGCTTAGTTTTTCAGGGTACAAGATTCTAGGCTGGGCATTATTTTGTTTCAAAAGAGTGAGAATGGGGCCCCAGTCTCTCCTTGCAGGTATTGTTTCAGTTGAGTAATCTGGCAATATACTGATCAGTTTTCCTTTGTATATAACTTGCTTCTTTCATCTTACAGCTTGTAGGAGGGTCTCTTTTATTGATATTTTGGTCAGTCTGATGACTACCTGCCATGGTGTTTTCCTTTTTACATTGTATCTCCCAGGAGTCCTTTTGCTCTCTTGTATTTCTGATTTTAAGTTACTGGTTAGACCTGGGAAATTTTTCTCAATTATTTCTTCACACAGCTTATCCAACCCTTGGGTTTTTTCTTCCTCCTTCTCCGGAATCCAGTGGATCTGCAGGTTATATTTCTTTGTATAATCCCTCAATTTTATAAGTTTTGCTCATGTCTCTTATTTTTTGCTCTAACTTTGTGATTAACTTATTTGAATTGAAGGTGCTGTCTACAATCTCTGAGATTCTTTCTTTGTTTTGGTCCACCCTGTTTTTGAGGCTTTCCACTGTATTTTGTATTTCCCTGAATAGATTCTTCATTTCAAGGAGATCGGATAGATTTTTCTTCAAGATCTCAATTTCCTTTTCTCTGTAGTTTCTTTGTGTTGATTATCCATTTTTTCTTGCATATCATTGAGCTTTCTTACAAAATCCAATTTTGGAATCTTTCTTATGTTATTTTAGTGTTTGGGGTTTGTTCAGTCTCCACTTCTTGAGAGCTGATGTATCTCCTGTTTTCAGATTGATTTTTTGAATTTCCAGAAATTTTACACTGGGCTCTCCCCTTCTGGATCAACTGATGGTGCTCAGGCATCCTCTCTTCTGTAGTTTCTTGATCAGCCACTCAGGAGAGCTCTTCCACCACACTTGGAAGGTATTCTTGATGGGAATAGTTACTTGTGGGGCCTACCCCTGACCGGGGAGGAGATCCACTCCCAGCTTTTTGATCAACTGGGTGCCTAAACTGTTCTGGGAAGCAAAGTCTTTTATATTGTGTGCTTACGCGCTGCACAGGCCTAGCGGGTTCTCCCTGGATGTGGGGGAGAGTGTCTTTTCTTGTCCCACCCCATCACCAGGGGTGGAGCCTACCACTTTAGGCAGGAGAGATGAGGGCTAGGAGGAGGAAGTAGCTCCCCAGTCTGCCCTGCACCCCGGCGCCCCAGTGGCTGTATGTCCCCTTAGCAGTTAGTCTTCTCAGTAGATTGTTGATTGAGCCAGGCCTGGTGAGCCAATCGCAGATTGTGTAGGAGCAGAATTTGCCAGGAGAGTATCTAGGCTGGGCGGCGGGGTGGGGCCTGCCCACTGCACCGTATGGTGGCTGGGCTGTGGACCCCCTCAATGGCGACCGCTTGCCCATTTGCAGAGCACCAGCACTGGGGGTGACTGTTTAGGAGGTGGCAGGTGCCGGGTTGGGAGTCTGGGTCATCAGGACGCCCTGTAGCCTCCTCTATGCCGCCTGCCCGAGCGCCTGTTCTACCATAGACCTCGCTCTTATTGACTCACCCTGTGCAGTCTTATTCACCCGAGGCAGTTACAGCTTAGAGTCCCTGACTTAGTGAACAGCTCTGTAGGGCTGGCCCCACGCATTACCAGAGGCAAGACATCTATTTGCCTCTCCTTACAGCTCAGTTTGGGGTCTTACCATCTTGGAGCCATCGTAGCATGGGGCTCCAGCGAGTTTCCACTTATGTCCATACTCTCCAGCACTCTCTTCTCCCGCCACAATTTGGCACCAATTTCAGACAGGTCCCTGGATGGGTGGGTGTGGAGGTCGATGGGGAAGCAAGGAGTTCTCCTGTGGGTCTGATCCCACTTCACTCCCTGGCCCATTGGGCCGGCGCCCTCCCATGTGCCCTATTGTTTGTTTTGCACTCTCCAGAAAATGCGATCTTATCTCCCGATCACCTTGTTTTTTTTCCTTTTTTGAGAGTTCCGCGATGAACCTCTGTGGATTCTCGATGCTGTTCTTGTAGGGGGGAGATCCACTCACATGTAGGAGACCAAGATCTATGTCTCCTTCTCTGGGAGCAGGAGTCCGGGGGCTTACCTTTACTGTGCTATTTTTTCTGAATTGGGAGGTCTACTTTTAGTTCTTTGAGGTATCTCCATACTATTTCCTACAGAGGTTTACAAGTTTGTAGTCTCACTGCAAGTGTATAAGTGTTCCTTTGTCTCTGCATCCACACCAGCATCTCTTGTTCTGGGACTTTTTGATAAAAGCTATTCTCACTGGAGTTGGGTAACATTTCCCTGTGGTTTTGATTTGCATTTCCTTGATGATTAATGATGTTGAGCATTTTTGCATGTATTTATTGGTCACGAGTCTCTCTTCTCTTGAAAAGCTTCTGTTCCCGTCTTTTGCCCACTTTTTAATGGGGTTGCTCGATTTCTTTTTCTTGTCATTTTGCTTGAGTTTCTTATAAGTGTCAGGTTATTAGGCCTTTATGGGATGTATAGCATGCAAACATTTTCTCCCATTCTGTAGGTCATCTGTTCACTCAATCGATTGCTTCCTTGTCTATGCAGAAGCTTTTTACTTTGATGAAGTCCCATTTATATATTTTTGTTGTTGCTGTGATTGCCTTTGGGTCTTCAGAAACTCTTTGCTTAGTCTGATATCTATAAGAGTTTTTCCAACATTTACTTCTAGAATTCTTATAGTTTCATGCCTTAGGTTAAAGTCTGTTATCCATAGTGAATAAATTTTTGTAAACGGTGAGAGGTGCAGGCCATGTTTTAGTCTTGTACATGTGGCTATCCAATGTTCCCAGCACCATTTAATGAGTAGGGGTTTTTCCCCACTGTATGTTTTTGTCTGCTTTGTCTAAGATCAGATGACAACATAAGCATGGTTTTATATCTGGTTTCTCAGTCGCCTTCCATTGGTCTATGTCTCTATTCTTGTGCCAATACCATGCTGTCTTAGTTAATATAGTCTTGTATTATAGTTTCAAGTCTGGCAAATTGATGCCTCCCAATTTCTTCTTTGTGCTTAAGATTACTTTGACTACATTAAGGGCCATTTTAACAATGCTGATTCTGCTGATTCATGAGCATGATAGGCTTTTGTATTTGTTTACATCCTCTGTGGTTTCTTTCCTCAGTGTTTCATAGTTCTCCCTGTGGAGGTCTTTCAACTCCTTGGTTAAATATATTCCTAGGTATTTTATTTTCTTTGTTGCTATTCTGAAAGCTATGGAGTCTTTGATTTGATTCTCAGCTTGACCGTTGTTGGCATATAAGAATGCTACTGATTTGTGTACCTTGATTTTGTAACCTGAGACTACTGAATTTATGTATCAGTTCCAGTTGTATCTTCACAGAATCCTTGGGGGTTTCTTAATTTGCTTCTCTTACTGATTATTCTGGCTAGGATTTCTAGCACTTTGTTAAAGAGAAGTGATGGTAGTGGGCAACCTTGTCTATTTGCAGTTCTAAGGGGGAATTCTCTCATTTCTCTCTGATTCAGTATGGTGTTGGCTGTGTGTTTGTTATATATGGCTTTTATCATTTTGAGATAAGTCCTGTCTCTGCCTATTTTGTTAAAGTTCTTATCATAAAAAGGTGCTGGATTTTGTCAAATGCTTTTTCTGCATCTATTGAGGGATCATATGGTCTTTTTTTTAGTTTCTGTTTATGTGGTGGGTCACATTTATAGATATGTGTATGTTGAACTATTTTTGCATAGCTGGGATGAAGCCCACTTGGTCATGGTGGATTACTTTTTTGATGAGCAGCTGAATTCAGTCTGCTAGAATTTTATTGTGAATTTTCGTGTCTGTATTCATAAGGGATATTGGTCTGTAGTTCTCTTTTTTTGTTGAGTCCTTTCCTGGCTTTGATATCGAAGTGATATTGGCATCATAGAACACGTTGGGGAGGATTCCTTTCTTCTCAGTGTTAGGGAATAATTTCTGCATAGCAGGTACAAGTTCTTCTTTGTAGATCTGATAAAATTCAGGTGTGAAACCATCTGGTTCAGGACTTTTTTGTTGGAAAGTTTTGTATTGCTGATTCAATTTCAGCATTTGATATTGGTCTGTTCAAGAGTTTTATTTCTTCTTGATTGAGCTTAGGGAGGTTATGTGTTTCTAAGAATTTGTCCATTTCCTCCTCCTTTTCAAGTTTATGTGCATAGCGATTTTTATAGTATTTGGAGATATTTTGTATGGCTGTATTAGTTTTATTTTCTCCTTTTGTGTTACTGATTGAGCTTATTAGACTACTTTATTTTCTGCTTTTGCTTAATCTAGTAAGAGACCAGTCACCTTTGTTTGTCTTTTCAATGAACCAATTTTTTGTTTCACTAATCTTCTTTACAGTTATTTTTTCTCAGTTTCATTTAGTTCTGCCCTGCTCTTGGTTATTTCTTTTCTTCTGTTGGGTTTGGGATTGGTTTGATCAGCCTTTTCAATTTCCTTGAGATGACTCATTAGATTGTTGATTTGTGCTCATTCTGTCTTTTGGATATATGAATTTATGGCTATGACTTTTCTTTCAGGAATGTTTTAGCTATGTCCCACAGATTTTGATAATTTGTGTCCCCTTTGTCATTTAGTTCAAAGAGTCTTTTGATTTCCATCTTAATTTTCTCCTTGTCCTGAATATCATTCAGCAGTAGGCTGTTTAGTTTTTATGACTTTGTGTAGATATGAGTGTTTCTGTTGGAGTTGATTTCTAATTTTATTTCACTGTGGTCTGAGAAGATACATGATGTAATTTCTCTTTTTAAAAAATTTTTGAGGCATGTCTTGTCTCCCAGGTGTGATCAATCTTAGAGAATGTCCCATGAGCTGATGAGAAGAACATATATTCAGTCATTTTGGGTAGAATGTTCTGTAAATGTCTATTAGGCCCATTTGTTCTACCATTCTGTCTAAGCTCATGGTTTCTTTTTTTATTTGCTGTTTGGAGGATCTTTCCTGCTCTGTCAGAGGGGTGTTGAAGTCCATGGCTATTCCATTGCTGCTGTTTATCAATTTTTTTTACAGCCAATAGTGCTTGCCATATGACTCTGGGTGCAGCTGTGTTATGTGTATAAATGTTAAAATTGTTATGTTTTCTTATTGAAATTTTCCCTCTAAAATTATATAATGACCATCTTTGTCTTTTATTACTTTTTTGATTAGAAGAATATGTTATCTGATATGAGAACTACTACATGGGCTTTCTTTTGGTTTCCATTTGCATGGAATATTGTTTTCCATCCCTGCACCTTGAGTCTGAATGAGTCCTTGTAGATTAGATGTGTTTTCTGCAGACATCAGATTCTTGTATTGTATTTTTTTTATCCATTCAGATAGCCTATGTCTCTTCAGTGGGGAGGTCAAGCCATTCGCATTTATTGAAAGAATTGGTAAGTGGGGTAAATTTATGTTCATCCAGTTGAGTAGAACTTTTTTGCTTTGTTTTATCTCTTGAGCCATTGTAGTATCTGGGTGCTGACCTTTAGCTTTTCTGTGATTTTTCACTGGTGGGTGTCTATCGTGTTGATCCATATATACTGAAGTATCACAAGATCCACAAGAATGAAAAAATAAGCATCACATGTACTCACCATTAAATTGGTTTTAACTGATCAACAGTTATGTGCACATATAGTACTAACATTCATAGCATGTCAGAAAGGTGGGGGGAGGACGGGATGGGTAAATGCACAGCTAATGGGTACAATGCTCACTATCTGGGAGAGGAACACACTTAAAACTTCCACTCAAATGCTACAAAAGCAATTTATGTAACTAAAATATTTGTACTCCTATAATATTCTGAAATAAAAGAATTCAATTGGAGATTGTTATACTGGATAAGAAAGCAAGACTGAAGTATATGCTGTTTACAAAACTAAACTTTAAACACAAAAATATACATAGGTCCGAAGAAAAGATGATAGAAAATCACATACTATGTAAATAGTAAGCATAAAAAGGCTGAAGTGGATATATTAATTCCAGGTAAAGTATACTTCAACGTAAACTTAAAGAGAGACATTTCATGGTGACAAGAGGTCATGTTATCAGGAAAACATACTAGTCATAGATGTGTATGTGCTTAATAACAGATATTCAAAATACATGAAGAACTAATGGAATTAAAGGGAAAAATAGACAAAATCTCAGTATTAGTTGGATATTTTAATGTTGCTCTCTCAGCAATTAAGAGAAAAATTAGACGAAAATACCATAGAAAGTACATAGAATATCAAATAACACTATCAAATACCTTGAACTAATTGATATCTATGAGTTCGCTGAAGTAATGCAGAAGAAACACATGCACATGCTCTTTAAGTATACATGCTATTTTTACCAAGATAGACTATTTGTTGGGTTAAATTCAAGTTTCAATAAACTTTTAAAACTTTGAATCCTATAGAATAGGTTTTATTTCAACTATAGCATCAAATTAGAAATTAATAATAAGACATCTAGGAAACTTCAAATACTTGGAAATTAAAGAACATACTTTAATATGTGGTTGAAGGAAGAAAACAAAGAAAATTCAAAAATATTTTGTATTTAATGATCATTAAAATAAAATATATCAATATTCAGCTTAGAGAAAAAGGCTTAGAGATAAAAATATAGCTTTAAATGCTTATATTAGATGATAACTGGATGTATAAAGTCAATTATCTAATGTTATACCTTACGGAGCTAGGAAAATAAGAATAAGTTAAACCAAAGTATGTAAAAAGAAAGAAATAGGGATACACAGGGAGGAGAAAAAATGGCAGAGTAGAGGTAACTCTCCGGACTTCTGCTCCGAGAGAAGGAGACACAGTTCTTGGTCTCCTACGCATGAGTGGACCTCCCCACTACAAGGACAGTCTTGAGAATCTGCAGAGGAGCAACGTGGAACTCTCATAAAAGGATAAACAAGGTGAACTGGAAATATGATCGTGTTCTCTGGAGAGTACAAAGCAAACAATAGGGTGCGTGGGAGGGCACCAGCCAGGAGGTGAAG